CAGGAATGGGTAAACTTTGTTTTAACAATGAGCTGTTATCACCCTAAAGTGTTAAATTTTTCAATGCTCAGTTAATCTTTCGAAAACTAATTTCTTGATTTAAAAAAAAAAAAAAAAAAAAAAAAAAAAACATTCCAATTGCCCATCAAAATCGATGCCAAAAGATCGTACTACAACATAGGTAAATCTCTTCCGTGTTGCATTAGCCATAAGGTTACTATGTCATTAACATATTTCAATAAGATATACCAGATTCTGCAGGAAACTGACCCTGGGCCATTAACACTGCAGTTTGGGTTTAAAAAGAAATAAAATGGGACCAAGAAATCACCCATTTTTCGCCTGTTTTGTGAGGTGTTTTCTTAATATTTTGGCTTTATTTTTCAGACATTTCAATCTTTCCTGACGCCTAAAATAAATTTATCGTAGTCATTGATGCCTATTCAAGAGTATAATGTTTAATTGTGACTAGCGTGAAAGGGTAAGCTTCGTTTCGACAATGAGCTGTTATTACTGTAAACAATGTTTAAATTATTCTTCAAATGCTCAGTTTATCTTTTGAAAACAACAAATTTTTTGATTTAAAAAAAAGTTTTCCCATCAAGATCAAAGCCAAATGATCGTACTACAGCATTGGCAAATTTCTTCACAGTTGCGTTCAATAACATTAACATATTTGAATGTTGGCATCATCCTTCATTTTGATTGGTTAATTAGGTCAAGAACACCGTCCCAGGTCAACTCGTGCAAAGCATCGAGTATTTATAATATGCGACTGGAATCATTCACTTGCAATGAAACTAAGTTGAATTTCATAACAATTCAACGATTTTTTTTCTACATTATTATAACCACTGTTGAGTAATAATCAACAATTGTGAAACACAGCATGACCGGATCGCGCTACCGTGATCATTTGTTACTAAGCAATGCAGTTGTGTTCGTTTTTATTTGAAACTTCCTTTAGAATATACTTTCTTTACCAATAAAAAAATAACTATTTGGCGTACCAGATTCGTTAATGTGATTTTTTTTGGTGACACTGGATGACATTGTAATGTAATTTTAGGCAGTCTACTTTTTAATTCAGCAAGAAAAAAATGGTGGCAGTGGTTTCTTTCGTCTCGGGTGGTCCAACTGCCTGCGTTGAAAGTCGATGTTGGAGGATTTTTCAATGAAAATATTAATTTTTCAAAATTTCAAGTCACCTATTTTAGAATCAAATTAATGGCTTCCACTTTTCACAACATCCAAATTGGAGATTTGACAGTAGTTTGGTTGCATTTGTCAATTATTTTTGCTGAAAGGCATCAAAATCAATGAAAATACTATTACCTCTTATGGTTTGCTTGCAGTTATTGATCAATCGGTGAAATATACAACAACTAAATTTATAGTTTTCAGTGAAAAGAAATTTTACGTTAATAAATTAGCTACCAGTCAATTATATATATTTTTAGAAATAGCAATCAAACAGGCAATCAATAAAGCTGTATTTATACCTGCCTCTTTAGAAAATAAAATATACTTGGTAACAACTATACCACTACTCCTGCATGGTTTTGAGGATAGTTCTAAACGTAGAACTATATTTATGCAAAGCCCATGTCAGTGTTCAATCATACCAAACTCAACGTTTTCTCTCTTTTGCTTTCACTCATAAAATTATACGAGGGCACAGATGTACAGATGAAACATGCATACAACATATTACATCATTTCTGAGTTATTTTCCACACAATCTACTGGTATTTTGCCACCAAATACAAACGCCAATAATCATGCCAGAACATACAACTACTTTACTATTATATGTAGTAATGTCATTAGATGACCGAGGTCAAATAGTAGGTCAGGTGATAACTCAGGAATGAGGAGTGAAGATATACACATTACCTTTACACAGACTACTTACTAGAAACAGGAAAAAAAGAATGAGAGCAAAAACAACATATGCATATCAAGTGACATACTCTCTGCAAAGGTGCTTGATTCTAGGCAAACAACAGTCAGTCGGATGAACTGGCCTTCAAACTTTAACGTGGTGGTGTCGGAGAGGCTAGTCAAGGTAGGCGCCAACTGGCTTTCTGTCCTCATGGACTGGAATGGTTCGGATCAGATCATATATCAAATGGCTCGGTATCGGAATCAGAATGGAACTCTCGGACTGAAGTCTATACAGTCTGGCTCAGTTGTTCAAGTTGGTGGGTGAGGTCAGAGGTCAATATTCAGGGGTGACTTTTCTCTGGTCATGGTGGCGGTACAGGACTTCCAGTTTTCGGATATTCTCAGGTTGGCATCCTGTGTTTTTGTCAAATTTGGCAAATAGTTAATCAAGAATTTTGGCTAAATCGTCACAGTAACTGCAACAAAATTAAATCAAAATTGAAGGAGAAAACAATGTCCAAAATTTATCAAGGAAAACCAAATGTCCACACAGCAGAATATTTTATGTATTGTGGTTTTTAATACAATATATACTTGTGTTAGACGACTGAATTATTGAATTGATTTGCATACAAATTTAGTAACCATAAACGTAGGTTTAAACACAGATTAGAAATGGCATAATTAAAATTGGGGGATAAGTTTGCAATTTGAATCATTTGATAAACTAGCATTTTGAAAATATCAACTATTCTACACAAATAATACTAATATTAAGTTGCCAAGCTTGAGAGTCAAACAAGCCAAAGAACTTTAATGCTGAGAATACAACAAGATGCAGGCACCACTTACCTCAGCATCCCTGCGATCTTCATAGTCAACAAATGCATAAGCTAAAGCAATGAAAAATAAAAAATTTATATAAAAACAAGCAATTTTACAATAGATTTTATGAATACATGGTTTATTCTTGTATTCACTACCATGCATTTTAGACATCACATAATGTTGACAGACTGATGTGAATAGTAATGATGGCAAATAAATTTGTGATACAGAATATCAGCAGAGCACTGGAAACATTGGTAAATATTGTTTCTAAGAAGTGGAAGGCAAAATATTCAGTTCAAAATGAGTTACACAAGATACTTGTGGAATGCGCTGATAAGATTCAGAACTAATTGCGAATGTGATACCCATGTAAACATGGCATGCAAAGCATTCAACCACAAGATACCTCAGCTTGAGGGTTCATTTGTGTCATTGAGTATCGAATCTACTAAGCATGAGGTAGAAAAAAAACATTGACTACACACTATTCAAATTAAGCCAATGAGCTAATTTCATTTTAACAATGCAACAACACTAATATCAGAAGTGAACAGTACTAACATATGTATACATCTGCACCATATGAGAAAACCTAAAACATGCCATTTATTGATGTAACATATTTGGAATGAACACTATAGATTTTTTTTTCATTACTATAAACAAGTACAAGAAACTGCATGTAGTAAGAAATATATACAAATTAATCTAGCAAACAAATTGTTACTTGGCAGAATATTTTGAAATTTGAGTGCAAATTGAGCAGAAGCAGTCAAATCTAAAATGGCGTTTTCAATGACCTGTACAAAATGCCATCCTGTTGACGAGACGAACAGTTTTATACACAGTAAATCATGCAATTTTTTTTCTTTTTTTTGGGGGGGGGGGGGCTTGCTTTATACTTTACATTTCAGCTGTAACTAGAAGATCACTATGTATAAATCACTACTCACCCATTCCAGTGCCTGCAAGTTTCAACCAGTTCATGTAAAATAGAAAAAAAATTGAAATGAATAGTCTGCCGATTCCTACATGTATGAATCAGTCTGACTCTTTCACATCCTGCCATTTAGAATGCATTGCAGGTTTTTTTCTAAAAAACACTGAGTGAGCACTGAAGTTCAGCGGCGCAACCAAGTGGAGAGATGAGGTTCTCCCTACCAGGGTGTGGGACAGGTCACAGTTGAAGACTGGCCACATGTGATCCCTGGTTAATTAGATCTTCTCCCCAGGGTAAGGGGGCGTATGGCACAGCATGAGGGTGCTGCTCCCTGTTACCTTGTTTAAAAAAATCCCTGAATTGTACACTGCACCTCAATACAATTTAAATGTTCTACCTGAGAAGTTACCGTAATAATTCATCTAGGCAACCAACCAAACAGCATATTTGAAAAATACAATGCAAAATATAGTAGGTAATAGTAGTCCTTGGTAATATATTGGTAGAATTTACTACAATTTTCCATACACAAACATATATTTATCAGTCCTAGTAGCTTTCTATTTTGTAACTGAAAATGCAAGGTCTATAAAATTACCACTAAGGCCAAGGAAAAAATATCTGTTTCTCGTTTCCGCGCGCATCATTTTTAACTACATGTATGCGCCTCGAACGTTTTTTCCTAAAGCTTTCCAAAATGTGCTTGTACCCACACTCTTGTCTCAAATTTGTCCCATTTTAGCTCAGTATTAAAAAAAAATCGCCTTGCCGCCTCATTTTAAAATTTCCCTGAAACGAGAAACAAATTTTTTACCCCCTGGCCTAAGCCATTCCAAGTTAAACTAATCTCGCTGACAGTGCTAGTAAATAGTATTTACTAGTACTAAGTAGTAACGGGGGTAGTCATTTTTGAAAACTAAATCATCCTGTATACATCTTCAAGTATACACAATAAAAATTATATGCAAATTAATATGCAGCTGGTCTACATTATCATTAGAATCCTACCAGCAGTATCCATGTACAGTACATGTACAAAATCTAAAATGTTGATGCACTAGATGTGATTTTGTTTATACAGCCAATAAAATAACCAAAAAATGCTCATGGTCTAAAACATTGTGTGCAGAAAACAAGAATTGCTTACGACTGCTGAATACTTTTCAGTCTTCTCACAAAATAAAAACACAATTAGATGAAATTTGTCTTATTGTGACCAATTGATTATTTATATAAAATAGCATGATAATGAAGTAGGAAGTTTTGAGCTGGTAGTACCATGAACCTACTAACCCAAACCTTATTAATTTAGTAAATAAACAATACATATCAGTGTAGTTACAGACAGTGGTCTAAAGTTCAATCCTGTGTCATAAATGTTTAAGCATTAAACAGCCGGCTGGCACATATACAATTATATATTAGTGTAAAACATTTTAATTTCACAACAAGAAAATTCTCTTGAATTTCGAGACAGGAAAAACCATAAAATATTGTAGCAATGAAGATTTCACTAGTTCTATGCATGCTTGTGCACTTCAGGTTTTGGGCGTTGTAACACCAAATTACGAAATTACATGCAACATGCTTGTGATTAATTGACATCAGGCAGGCATGTGGAATGGCTATGATTAAATTAGAATTGTTCAATTGCAACCATTACAAAATTATTAAAATCAATTTACAGTTATGGAGAGATTCAACACGTGTCGTCCCAAACCCACTCTATTTAAATGCCATCCTTCCTAAAATAATTGAATATTCTATCTAGCACTACCAGCAACAAAATGCATATAAGAAAACCATAGTCTATAAAATGGTATCTGATAATTACAAATGCAATGATTTACATCGCAATGATTTACATCTCAATTCTTACACCCTATTTACCTAATGTCGTAAAATCGTAGCACATGTAGCAGTCAATTCATAAAATTATTAACAACTGACCCAACATAATACAATATTTGTGGTCACTTAATTCCGAAAATGAGAAGCGTTTCGTTATCTAGCTGGTAACTGTGAGTCGAGTGTGGTAAACTGTAGCTACATAAATTCACGGGACGGCGCGAAATTGATAAAATAGACTCCAGGGTGGAATTAAATCATGCATGACATACGCCTGAACTGCCATGCACGGTATGCATTTTACGAGGGGGAAGTTAGTTTTTTGGAACCATTCTGCTCATGCAATGATATAAAAGAGCAACATTCGACGAGTTTTCAAAAATAGAAGTTGGTGAGCTGCGTTCAGAAAAGTAAACCTTTAGTTTGCACATTATTTAGAACACTTAACTCTAATGCAGTTCGGCGATTTACACATTTCATACTCTACTAATTTATCGAACAAGAACGAGGAAATCGGAGAAAAAACAACATGGCCGCGGATATACGGTCGAAATCGAAACACGAATAAGGAAAAGCCTCCAACACTTGATCGACACTTAAACCGGTTGAGCATATTACGTACCATATTTGACATCGCATCTTGACAAACGACCATAAGCTGTGAAAATATCTTCTAAGTCACGTTGGCGGGTTTGTTTACTAAGTCTTCCGATAAAAAGCTGAGCTCCTTCACCACGAGACATGTTGTACAGCACGCAGCGTTAGTGAACGGAGTCACAGTCGCGGTATAAAATTGAAGTGTTGAGATCAGTAATTAACATTTTTACCAGTAGATTATTCGTTCAAAAGAAAATATATAAGTCTGATAAATCAAGTCAAATTTCAACTCAAAATCAAATAAAATCCATAATTGCACTCGTATACTATAAATAAGGTTTAAAATTTACATAATTGTGTGAAATATGTGAACGGTTTTATTTGAATTTGCGTCTATAAACTATAAAATGTTTGTACCATTGGAATAATATATTAGGTGCGATGGGGGTGTCAGCTAAAAGTAGGTCGAGTGAGTAAAACAACACATGAAGTCATTTCAGTGTCAATTCCCAACAACAATACTGGTACTTGTTCAGGTTTCAATACACGACCAACTATTTTGTTTATTCGGTGAGGTAAAATTTTAATGGCAAGATTACCAACACATGGAGAATTTGACTATTACTTGTTCTGATAAATGTTAGAAAACACATTTTCAAATAAAATAAGACCAATTACAGTTACAAAAAATATCAAATAGGTTGATAATTGTGTCAAGGATAAGCGTTACTCCGTTATCTATAAAATGTTATTCGCGAAAGTCGGATCCACATCTCTATCAAAAATTAATAAATTGGTTGGTTCCTGTGTCCAAGGAATACCTGTCCGGAAGACTGTATGTCCCACAGAACCCATTCACAGGCAATTTGAAAATATAACCTCCTTGGTGGAAGTAATACAAATTGTGAAAAATACTTTAACCAACATGTTTTTAAAAATGTATAATGTATAATAATGAAATTTGGCCAAACCGTTGCCATAGTAACGAAATATTGGATTGGTCAAACTCAAGTCATCATGTATTATAACTAATAACTATGACCTATTTCTGCCTATAGTGCATGCTAGCTTCAGTGCTCCGGTATTCAGGAATTTTTTGCCAAGACAATTATATCATTTTAATATGGTGCCCATAGACTGGCAAACTGTTTCCAATTTATTTCCACTCTCACTGTAGAGTTTTACGTAACGATTGAAAATTAAAAAATCATTTCGGTAAACTGCTTCAAACGAGGTTTTCAACAGTTGTTAACCCAAATTGTTACTTTCTCCAGAAAACATGTCTGAACAGCTCGAACTTGAAGAGTATGCTAAGTAGTTAGTTTTCAACCCCAATCGCACGAGAAAAACTTTGAAATGAATTATTAGCCGCATCATATAAATCATATTGATAATGAACAATGTAATAAAAATTCATTTTATCTTCCACTTGGCGGCCATAATCTACATCAAGTTGATTTTCTCTCACCACGGTATCCACCATTTTCAATGCAAGGGGAAGAATAGCAAACCCGAACTGCACTAGAAGTGAGTGTGCCTGTACTTCTATCTTAATACTCTGCTTTACCGAAATCTGTAATTTTGGGTTGTTACAATGATTTTTGGGCCATTGTACACTATTACCGGTATTATTAACCCGGGATTACTGCTGCTGAAGGTAGTGCATATACCTTCATTAGCATATATATCTCATGACTAAAAAATCAAATTCATTCATCTCAAAATTTCAATTATATACACAGTGATACATTGAATTATCCCACAGAAATATTCATTTACATAATCAAATCGCAGCCTACTCATTATCCCCCCAATAGTTATTTTACGTTTAAAAAAAAAATGTGTTTTTTGACTTTTTAAAACCCAGATTTTTGAAATAATTTAGGACAACAATAAGTACCCCCCCCCATTAACAATATATGATTTTTTAATCTATGTTACCAGGCTGCAATTTGAGATGACATAGTATCTACTAGTATGCCATAGGAACCTGTGGTAAAAGCGTTATAATACTGTCAGAATGATGGCTACTATCCACTAATTTTAAAATCATGATACAACCATAATTTTCTCGAAAATTAAGCTAGCAACCAAATTTGTTTAAAGTAATATCCTTATAATGCCCGGAAGTACAGTTTATTGAAAATAACTAAATTTTGGGTATTTGTATTCATGCGTAGTCTTTAACATTACTTAGGTGTTTTGATCAGAAAGATAGTGGTACGTACAAGCTTGTACTTCACTTGAACAGTGCCATCGGCGCTGATTCTGATTTGAATGTGACGTACAATCACGGAGTTGAAAGGGATCAATCACTTTTCTGTTTTAGCTCCATCATACTGCGTACCGTTGGACAGATATAATGAACAAGTTCAAACGATTTTCTAATCAAATTTTATGGTCGAAATCAGAATCATAAATGGATAAATGGGCATTGGGTGTTTTATTTTAATATTTCTGACAAAAGAAAAATCTGAAATGGAATATAAACATAACATTAGACTGGCCCAGCCGTGGAATTTTTAAAAAATTTGATTGCTGGAAATTTCGCGTCAAAGCGAGAGGTTCTACAAACTTGTTCTACGGAATTATTGTATAAAAACAATACATTTGCCACGACAAGTCCAGCCTAACGTACTTATATAGGGACTGTGATATTTATAGGACGCAGACACAGACATAAGTTTTTTTTATCTTATCTATTTATTATACAGATGAACTGAGATATCTGTATTTTTTGTTGTGTATATTTGCTGACATATCTTTTTAACGATGTGATGTGTTTATATTTCAGGAACGTTTTGGTGACTTAGCTACCCAGTAATTTCATTGATATTAAGATGTAGTTAACTTAAATGAAGGTATAGTCTCACAGTGAGATTCGTGGCACTTTAGCTAGGTTGGGATTATCGTACTTTCAAACTGTTTCTACAGCACTGGTAAATTGCATGTAGTCAGCCCCTCCAGTGGAACCCACCTATGCGAAATGCGATTGTCCAAACGGCAACCTTTTCAACTTTGACACTATGCGACGTCACTAAATACTGCGCATGCGTTGAGCCCCGGATCTCATCTCAAAAGTGACACGCTGGAGTTTCTGTTGAATAGAAAAAAATGGGTGAGTACAGTTGTAATATATCACAATATTGAATGTTTTTTGTAGTTTTCAGTAACTTACACGTATACTACATCATTGACAAAAAACAGTCGTGTAAGGAAGTTTTATTCACGAGTGCAAATGTCCATATTGCGATTGTTTACATTACAAAATCATTTTGGCGAACCGAATTTCATTGAAAAAAAATCATGATATTATTGGACTGGGGATGCAGGTTAGTAATGCGTACCTATAAAATTGTGAAATCCTATTTGAATAATTTATCCTCCATGCATTTATGCCAGAAAAGTTACTGATCTTTATGTTTTCATTTCAACTACAAATGTATGCGGGCTTTGTGTCAATAACAGTTTTATAGTACATATATGTACTAGCAGTAGTGGCTGCAGCTGATGGCTTTGGTCTGGGATTATAAAATAATTACAGTACCGGTATGGTAATTTTGTATCGAGATGGATTCATTTGTGCAGATGACCTGATCACATGCTCAATGAAGACAGGATAACATTTTTACCCAGTGATAACACAGTAATTTTGAAGTATCTATGATGATGTCTGTTTTGCTATGTGTGTGTTATCAGGGATTTATAAGATTAGAAAATGCAAGTGTGTCATATGCGATGAAGGATATATGCAAATTGAAGTCGTACAAATTGATCACGAAATCGCAAGAGAAATCTACATTTCTTTATACATGTATCCTAATGCAAACTAGCGAGTCTGTGAAACTGACTTGCGTTTATCTCAAATTATGAGTTCGCTTCTCAGATCTTCAACTCATATCACCATACAAAGTTGCATATCTAGTTCTACTTTATTTACTATTTTTTCAACCATGGTATTTTGAATGTAATGAAACTGAAACTGAAATGTACAACAATGTACCTGTTAATTATATATTGTAACAATGTATATACCTACCAATTGTACATTGTTAAATGGGTCTATTGTTGCTGATATATCAAACTCTGGAAAACATTTATCATTACGTGAGCATAATTCTTGACCAAATTAGATTCAATTAAATAAAAATGAGCCTTAATTATCTCAGCTATGGGGACTGAACTAGCTTTGTGTGAATCGTTGATACATGTATGTAGTTCAGATAATTGGTCATGTCTAGGGCCATAAAAAGTAGTAGATAATTAGTAATTCAGATACCCTACTGTACATGTGTGCTACATGTCACTTCTACATGTCACTTCTACTTGTATTCTACTTGTATGTTCATGTAAAAGTTTTAAAATGATTCTATATTTCTAATGTAAAAATAAGTAAACTCCATGTTTGCCACTATAGACTACATGCATGTATGTCTTGTACTTCATGGTTCAATTCATCATGAAATTTTCATGCATGTACTGTGTCACCCCAGAAACTGTATAAAATATTTCACTAGCATGCAGAGTGAACAACAAATTTGGTTACATTACACTGATGATATTGATTTCATTAATTTACCCAGTTATTGTTAATGTCGACATAAATGGAGAATGTATATTTGAAAGCTTACAAATCGTCTTAGAAAAATTGATAATGAGCTGAAATCAAAATTGCGATAAACCATAGGTAAACACACCATAATGGAAACTATAGCTGATTTATAGACATCTGTTGCATGCAGTCGCATATGTTACTCAAGTAGTTATTACAAGTATATATGATGCAATCCAGTCAGGGATGTATAATTAAGTGTCAGCTTGGGAAGTGCTACATCATAGACCTTTCCACCCCAGAAAGAATAGCGTTTTTTTTAGTCTTTGAGCATTATGGGATGCACATCATTTTATTTTTTGGATCTTTTTTAAGAATGCAGTTCCAGATCTTCATATCCGACATGCTTGGATTGATCAAGTTTAAAATTCTTACTTGTTACTTGCGTTTGTTTCATGATCCTATTCAAGAAGATGGTCGATTGGCAGCCATTTTAAGGTCTTAAAAGTATCTAAAAAACATGTTCGCCATTCTTGATCTGGATCTTAATCATGCAAGGATAGATTTTGTTCAAACTTGGTGATATCCATAATATCCTTGTCATTCTTTTATCTCATCAGTGTTCGCCATGTTTACTATTCACTTGAGATTTAGGACAATGTCAAAAGATCGATGTAGGATAAAAACCCTGATTTCTTAATTTGTACAGTATCAGATCATCAACAAGAATTTTTCCTCATTTTCAGAAATGGTACAAAACCATGTTTTTTATCAACATATGTCACTCATAATTGGTTTGTCATTTAGGTCCATGATTACATGTTACCACTCTACTTGGTGTTTCTTACATATACATGTACCGGTACAATGTAAAGGATTGTTTTTAATTGGGGAGAAATGTAGTAAAAACATCTTTTACACTGTCTATAATGTGTATCAGTATATATAAATGAATGCATACATGTACATATCTGATGTAAAAAAAAATATTTCAACTTTATAAAGTCAATCTTTAGTCCCTCATGGCAAAATATAATTGTCATATCAACTGTAATGTGTGCCAGTTACAAATCCAATAATATAGAGTTATATGTGTAGCAAAACACAAGGTTTGACCCAGAGTTAATTGTAACCCACTGTTGGGGAACATGTATGAACAGATTAAATAACCCGGTCTCAACCGGGATTAGGTTAGCTCAGAGTCAGAGAACTGGTTTGTACCCAGAGTATAGACCCATATGAGGTAATTATCATTGTCCCAATCCATATTAATTTGTAGAGATTTTAATAGCATAGCTCTTCTAATGAATTAGTTACTGTGTTCAGGAGAGCTAATTTAAGTGAGGCCTGAATCACAATTTTATTGTTTTGTTCAAGTGTGAAATTTAGATATTTTCATCTTCAGTACCCTTAATTATGTTGCTTATTACCGGTATTACCAACAAGTGTGTTGGCAAGTTATGTGTTACTCAACATTTTTTCCCTGTTCTTTGTAGAGTTTATTCTGTTAGTCTTTATCTCATAATCTTGCTACCAGTACATGTATATTACTCATTGGGGCTGAAAATACATGTAGTAACATTTTATATTGCGAAGCTGAATAGGCTACCAATTAAAAATGCTGGAAGCTGGATGAAAGTGTAATACAACAGTGTTTGAAACCCATGCACACAATTGTGAATACCTGAAAATAATATTACATATTGCATTATTATATACAATGTAGCACACTGAATTAAATATGTTAGTTTGCTTTTATTTTCAGGGAGCTTTTTCTCCAGTTTGTTTTCAAGCCTGTTTGGGGCAAAAGAGATGAGAATTTTGATTCTTGGTCTGGATGGAGCTGGTAAAACAACAATATTATATAGATTACAAGTTGGTGAAGTTGTCACAACAATTCCAAGTAAGTATTATTACATGCCTTTACTTTATCTTAGAATAAAACTGCCATGTAGTTCAGTAAATCTACCGATACAAATCTACCGTTGCCATGTGTACTGACTGTTGCTATGCAGTGATGACAGATGCAAGTTTGTAGCCATTGCTATCAGCTGTTATCTGTTTTATATCAGCTGTGTGTGATACAATTATTACAGTCAGTATATAGTCTATGCTATTGTACACAGTTTGAATATTCCCTTAAGTTTCATTACTTCTATTTACTTTAATGTTACTCTATTTTGATTAATATATTTTCTCTTCATACTTTTTCAGCTATTGGTTTTAATGTAGAAACAGTGACATATAATAATCTTAAATTTCAAGTGTGGGATCTCGGAGGACAGACGAGCATAAGGTGGGTGAAATGTGATTAACTTCATAATGCACATAATATACCAAGAACACATAGGGCGATCATTGGGTTAACAGTCATGGCGTGTTTGGACCCATCCTTGCGACCTAACTTTCACACTTGGTCTGTATAAGCAAGTAAAAACAAATGTCAATTATATAGTAGCTAAAATCTGTAAAATCTGTTGAAGTTTATCAAAATGAAGTCAAGATGATATTGTTAGTTTCATCATCTAAATATAATACTACAGTCAGTAATGACTAATGTTCAAATATCTATTGCAGGCCTTATTGGAGGTGTTATTATTCAAATACAGATGCCATTATTTATGTAGTTGATAGTTGTGACAGAGATAGGATCGGTATTTCAAAATCAGAACTTGTCGCCATGTTAGAGGTTAGTATTCAAATCACTTTTAATTTAAACAAATGTGCATGATATAGAGACTACTAACTACCATTGAAACCCCCACCAGATTTGTCTTCCAATTTGTTGTAATTTTATTCATTGTCGTTGTATTTTTTCAAGCTGAAGAAAGACAAAATATTAGGAAATATTATTATTAAGTTGTCATGTTTTGTGTCTGGTTTCTCAAATGAATTATGGGCTTGAGGACTTGATGGAGTTGATGGTTTGCTTTTAGCCCCACAATCAGCATCATCATTGTGACCTCCAACCATTCTGTGTGAAATAAATGACTTAGATTTTGTGTGGAAAGTAAGCACTATGTTTTCAGCTAGCTATTAACACATCGTCTGTTTATATGGCTATTCGTGGAGGCAGGCACAAAATGTAGAATGACCAGGGTATAATTTCCTGTTTAACAACAATAACTTGGATTGTGCTTTGATAATGTATTTAATTTCTTGCATGAGCTCAAGTTTCCAGCATGAGACGTAAGGTTTGTGATTTACACTGCTTTGCTCATTCTCGTAGGAAGAGGAACTCAAAAAGTCAATACTTGTAGTTTTTGCCAACAAACAAGATATGGAAGGAGCTATGTCACCATCAGAAGTTGCCAATGCATTAGGACTTCCTGCAATTAAAACAAGAAAATGGCAGATATTCAAAACATCAGCAATAAAAGGAGAAGGTCTTGATGATGCAATGGAATGGTGAGTAAAATATAAATGTTGAATCTACATTTAGATATGTACGTTGGGGGGGGGGGGGGTCGATTCATCCTAAATCACATTCGTCCCAAGTCGATTCATCCCACAAGTTAATTCGTCCCACAAATTGATTCGTCCACAAGTTGCAGCAATTCCAGGCACTGATTTGACGCTGAAGTAGTG